GCAATCCAGCACAGATAAGGCTTGGCAGCAATCCAGCACAGATAAGGCTTGGCAGCAATCCAGCCTGCTAAGCTCACCATAATGTTCTCAAACATTAGTTCCTGCGTTGACTTATGCAAGAGAGGAGGGTGCACAAGCAGTCCTTTTATAGTCTGGAGAGGAGCCTAATGACCACCAGCTGAGTGCAATTACCTCCTGTAACTGCGCAACAGTTCCTTGACGCCTATTAGCTCTTCAATGGCGTGCATCCAGGAACAACTCACTACTGGCCTCCGGCTCATTCTCCCTTGTCTCCTCCCCACTGGTTCAAGGCTCAGGTGCCTCCTGGTGGCCAACCAGCCTCTCTGCGCCCTGCTCGGAGTCGGAACCCTGTCCAGGGTCCTCCACATCCTCCAGAGCCAACTCATAGGGCCCCTCGCTGTCGGAGTCTGGTGGCAGCTCCAACAGCTCCTGCTGGGCCACAACAATCTTCTATCCCAACATTCCCTTTCTTATGATTTCCACTCATCCAGTTGTAATATATTTTCCCATCCAATGGTCTTCTGTTCCTTGAAATGATATAGAGATTTGTCCCTTGCTAATCCATGTTTAGAAGTACCTCGATTTCTCTTCTACCAACCCACTACTCAAATCTCACATTTTCAAGGAAGCATTGGGAAAGTTGATGTCCTATTCCAATTAAGCCAAAATATTATCTTTGAACTAACAGTACATTATTCCTGTTCCTCTGCCTCTTATCTAGTTATTCCTTTTTATTACTTTTTTAGACGATAAATATAAGTATAGGTTTGAGCCAGACTGTGATTACACACACATGCGACCAACAATTCATAATTACATTTTCCAAATTTATTTTGCAGACATTATTTCCTTTTTATTCAAGTCTATACAAAATAGCTGAATGCAAGAATGTGCAAAGAAATGCCAAAACACTCTCAAAACATTTGTAAAATTATACTAAACCATACATTCTACATATAAGATTTAAAAACTTTTTCAAGCTAACACTACATGGCAAATTTAGATGTATGTTTAAACAAAGGTACAAAAGAGGAAAAAGCAAAGTGCTTCTGTAATAAGGTAAAATTAAAAAAAAGAAAAAAAAAACACCATGGACCCGCTACTCAGTGCAAGTAGGAAACTCATTCTGGGCTTTTTAACTTCTGAACTCTCTTCCTTGGTTTCAAGTTTGTCTTGGGTTTGGGTGAGATCTTCTGTAATTTGGGTTTGGTGGCTCCAATCTCTATAGTTATTATGAATAAAGACAATTTCATTATTAAAGACAGTTCAGAGAAATTCTGAATTTAATCAAATACTTTTTACTTACTAATACTTTACAATCCACATCAAATTCAGGACATTAATAACTCTGAAAATGGTATCCCTAGCTGCACAAATTATAATTGATTGGCGCATATGAGTTTCTCCATTCCTTCTTGTACGTCTTTGCCTAAAGAAATTTGCTGAAATTATTACAAAATAAAATTGCCTATGGGTATACTTTATAAAACTAAAACTGAATGCAAACATTATTGGGTGTATGTTACAATGCCATCCTCCTGAGAGACACTCGTGAGTGTATAGTTCCAGCAAATGGCATCATCAATTAGAGAGGGCCAATTTCTTAATATCATCCCATATAATATCCGCTTCTGCCCACGTTCCCAGGAAATTATAGAAGATTTTACACAATGTTTATTGTACTGTACTATTTCTGCTTCAGCATGCAGAAAATTTTTGGAGCCCCTCTTGACAAAAAAATGATTTTGGCCTGAGTCACATCAAATTGAATATTTAATGAATTTAGACAAGGAACTATCATTACGGAGGCTAGCAAGCTTTAAACAGGCTGCTGCTAAACAGAGATGGTTTTATTAAAAGTTCCCAATGTTTCTTCATTTTATCTGCTATAATAAAGATTTAATATTGGCACTGGTTTTTGCACATTATAATGTATATTATTAAAGTATGGATACTTTTATGTAGGTTTTAACTTATTTGGTATGGCTGGCAATCAAAACTATAAACATATTGAATTGAATTGAATATTTGATTGGAACAAGGAACTGGCAACCCATCTTGAGTAAATATCTAGCCAACTTTCTCTGGCTCCAGCAAAATAAATTTCCTGAAGGGACAAAAAGAGTGAAGAAGGAAAAAATGATTTTGAAGACAGAAGCAATAGTGGAGTTGCTTGTTCTGACTTACATTGTTTATACTCAAGTTTTAAGTCTTACTCCAGCAACTGATGTGGAAAATGAAGTAAACAGCTGTGCTTTCAATTTGATTGCTCAAATGGAAGCATAGGGAACATTTGTCTTTAGCCACAACAACAAATGTGTGCTTTCCATGCATCCACATAAACTACCAGCCTTGAAATTGAGGGGAAGATACACTTACTGAAAAAGTATAATCCATCCTGGAGCAATGCTGAAATACTTCAGTTTAGCTCGCTAGCCTTAAGTGACCTTTGCATCTAGTCAGAACTGTCTAGTTTTCCATATTTTATTAACATGGGATAAATACAGAAAAATATACATTTTACTTGTAGCTAAGAGAGATTCTTCTTCAATCTGATTTTAACCATAATGTACTTCAATAATAGTTGTGTTAACTCAATATCTAAATTACTTTACTATTCACTAAAATTCACAGGCCTTTCATGCTGCCAGCTATGAGTTTTACATGTAATTCCAGACCTTAATCGGAGTCCTAAGTTAGAATCCGGTTCAAATAACATCTCGGCAGTTTTTGTATAACTTGTGACTAAAGCATTAAACAGTTTATTCCTTATGGGTTGGGAATGAAATAATGCCTTGATAATATATTGCCCAAGATTGACTATTAAGGTCAAGCAAAAGAGGACTGATTCATATCTAGAGTGTGATAAATTTCTCATTTCACCAGGGGAAATTTCCATCTGTTGAAAGAAACAGTGCTATAATCCTAAAGAGAACTTGCATCGTGAAGTATTTTAGAATGATAACCTAACTATACAAATATGATGGATATGACTGCTAAACTGACTCTCTGGGATTGGCGTAGAAGGTGCTTTTCTTCACTGGTTGCACTCATATTTATGATCAACTCTTGAGAATGGCTTTCAGGAGTTTCTACTTGGTCTCATGGCTGCTGAACTGTGAGATTCCACCGGGATCCATCCCATCATGTTCAACATTTTTATGCAACAACTCCTTGAGTTCATTGGATTCTGGGGTTAAGTGCCACCAGTAATATCCATTTGAGCCAGCTGATTGCCAATAAACTGAAGATGTTATGCCTGATAGACAGTGTTGTGCCTGGTGATCAGAAGGGCAGAAATTGGGAATCAGGGTAGGGGGAGCACCTATCCTGTAATTGTTATTTCAACTGCAGGTGGGCTGCTAAGCACCCAAATTTTGAACAGTTGACCATTGGGGGAGGGGGAGGAGTACAACAGCCATAACTTTACATACCAGTCATTCAGCATTATTAACTACAAATGGTTATTGAACAAATATTGTTAAGTGAGGACCATTTATTTTAAATGATATTCAAGGGCTTTAAGGCAGGAGTCACCAACCCCTGGGCCACAAACTGATAGCAGGCTGCATCCCGTTCAAAATCAGGCCACACAAGTGATGAGTGAGTGCATGCAGCACAGAACCATTCCCTCTTCTCCCCCCCCCCCAAAAAAAAATGCTGCCAGCGGTCTGCAAAGCCGGAAAGGTTGGAGACTGCTGCTTTAAGTGTCAAGTGCTGATACTTGAAAGAGCATATCTCCCAGTTTCTAAATGTTTCTCTCTCCCAGTTTCTAAATGCTCAAATGTTAAGACCTGGATGAGGCATAGTGATATATGGCTACAGGTATGCAATGCCATTTCCCTTGAGGCTAGGCTTGTGCTGATATTTTGTGTCTTTTAATATCAGTTGCCATTACTATCACAGCCTGTTTATGCCTTCTGACTATTAGCTGTATCTTTGTCTTGGTTGTTGTGACTGTGTCTTAACTGGGCTATAGTTATAGTTAACTTTGTGTACTATTTTTCCTTGTTTCCTTGATAAATTGTAGCTTACCACAAGATGTTCTGAATAATAGGTTGGCTATAAATGTTTTTTAAAAATAAAAATAAGAATGCCAATAATATTTGCTGTCCAAAGCAACACAGCTTCATTTTGTGGCGCCAACTCAGTCAGATCAAAGAAGGAATATAATTCAAGACAAGCTTTAACTCAGGAAAGCAGGACGCTATACTTCAACATTTTTAATAGAAACATTGAGGTGGGCTGGAACCGCCAATCCAAGTGTCTTCTGGGCATGAAAATTGTTGCAAGCCTTTGAAGTGATTGTTTTGATGTATACCAGGTGCCACTACATTTCACAGAACTGCCTAAAAAGTGCGCCTTGATTGAGGTTTCTTTCGAAGAGAAGCAATCCTTTGATGCTCTGCACAGTCCTAACTTGGAAATTATACCATCTGCCACAGTGCCTTTTAGAGACGGGCTATAACTCACAGGCAGCGAATGTGTGAGGTCCAAACTAATTCCTGGCATTTCCTGCTAAAGAATTGGCAAGCCTTCCTTTCAGTCGTCCTGCTGATGTGCATCTGCTGGTCATAAACTACACATTATGCCAAAATACTACCAAGATTTTATAGTCTATCTGCATAACTCCCTTTTCTTAAAGTAACTGCACTCACTGTTGCAAGTGACTGCTGCTGTTGCTGCTGCTGCTACTACTGCTATTGCTGGTAGCCTCTGGCTGCAACCTGCTGTGATGAATTGGTTGTGGGGAGTCAGCACTTCCTGACAGTGAATTGGACAAGATAGGTGAGGATAAAAATGAAAACAGAGAGGAAAATAAATGGTGGGAAAAGGGGTAGGGAGCCGCCAACAACTTTCATCAACTAACTGTCATCAGTTTTATATGATGAGCAATAAATATATTTCACATTTGCTACTGGCAGATAGCTGACAATCTTTTCTTTTTCCATGTTACCCAACAAAATAGTTAACATTTATTGTACAATTTAAACATCTTTGAATTTTTCTACAGCGATAGATCAGTGACAAATACTAATAAGAATCTTTGACTTACTCGGTGATGCAGGCTTTCTTTTTTTGGCATTTTTCACACCGTCAACAGCTATTTCGGCATTGTCCTCATCAGCAGTAGCTGTCCCTGATGCAGCAACTAATTTTCTTTTTGTCTATCGTCCAAATCAAAACAGAAAAAGTGCGCAGGCAAGTTAAACAAATGATAACGCCATACATAAAATTGCTAACCATATTTCTCTATCAAAGTTTCCTATCCTCAGAGTAATTAACTCAAAAAGCTTTTAACAGAAAAAGCATGTTATCTTAGGAATCATGCTATGATTTTTAATATCTTATTTTGTACAGGTTCCTCCATGAACCTATTTTAGTATATTCAGCAACAAGAGTATAGTTTACAGTAATCAGGTACAATTACAACAGCATATTGAGTGTGGGGGCCTTCCATACAACAATATTTCTTATGCATACAAAATTTACTTCTTGAAGCAGCTCTCTTTATATTGAAATTTTACTTTAAGTGATTGGAGAGATTCTTGTCTTGTACAAATTGCACTTCTCTGCTAAGAAATTCAGGTTTTGCACACATTTCTGTAAGAACTTAAGATATTCATTACATTTCATATTTTCATAATAGTGAAATATAGTGCTAAGACAATGAAAAAATACATATTCCAGTACTATTTTGAAATTATTGTTAAAAGAATACAGATTACTATATAATTAGTGTAGAATTATAGCTCATGTAAAAATCATAGAAATTGGAAGCATTCATTTATTATTTAAGATCAAAATTTAAGCTACAGCCAGTGAACCCCAAAAGTTGAATTTCAAGCAGCCACCATTGCCAGCCTCCTTTCCATTCTGATTTAGAATAGTTTGAAAGTATTCCAATCAGAAAAGAACATAAATAAATAAAATTCTGACTCTTCCTTCTAGAAGTGATTTCTAAAAGCTTTCAGACTTATTTGGTTAAAATGTTGTTGTTATGCCTCTACCCTCCACAGCAAGAACTGCTTCTCAACCAGACATGCATCAGATTAGACCTTTTATAAATGGTGCAGCGAGGACAATATGCTTCAAAAGAAACTGGAACTGTGTATATATTTCCCCAGTTTTACTATGAATGTTAAGAAGCCAAAATATTTTTCAATGTTCTTAGCCTATCAGCACAAAAATTACTATTAAACTTCCGCTCACTTTTTTGGTAACTTTGATCAACGTATATCCAGAGTGAAATAGCTCAAGTGGCTACAAGCTTGTATAGCCAACGAGAAAAGGGGAGAGTGCATTACATCTTTCCAAAGTGTTGCTTCATGATTACTATCTAAACCCTGCTGGGCTGAACAGATTGGTTCGATAATTACATACAATAACTGCAGTGGGCAGGTAACCCTCAGCTGGCACAGGGCAACTCCCCTGGGAGAACTTCCATATGCAAACGGCACTGATGGAGTGCATTAGGTACATCTTTCTTGCCGGTGCATAGGCCTGATTAACACCAACCCAAACTCCAAGGTTAGCATGTCAGCAGATTTGTGATGCATTAGGCAGGAATAAACACAGACATTTTTTTCACGTTCTGTCCAAAATTAAGAAGGAATAGTTCACCACTGTATTGCTTCTATATACAGGATATAAATGCATTCTTCCTGTCTAACTGAAATAGAGCTGCTCTTTTTTAAAAGACTTACTGTTAAAGCAGCTGCTCAATACTTTCCACACACTAATATAGTTTCCCAGCTTATACACTGAAAGGCACAGTTTTAATCTTGATCCAGCCAGCTAGATAGCAAGGAAAGTCAGGTATTGTTCTCTGACAGAGGCAACACTGAAATATTTATTTCAGTTCAAATGTTTTCTAGCTGTTATCAAATGTCAGCAATGGGCTCATCACTAAGCATATTCCATGGCTTGAGTAGTTTACAAGCTCAATAATGATTATGTTCACTGCATGAAAATGAAGGAAACTTCTTTTTTGGCAGAAGTTAGCTGAACAAATGTAAATGTTACAGTAACATCATCCATTTCATATGAAAGTGAATTAAATTTAAGCCTAGTAGGGAATGCTCTCTCATTAATAAATCCCAGAACCAGAATCACTTAAAATGCACGATAGAGAAGATGAATAACTCCCTCTGTAACCAATTTCAATTAGCTGGGCAGCCACTGTTTCTACTATTTCTCAATTTACTAGCCATTATGATATGGCATCATCATATGTCCCCAACAGAATGCAGTTTTGAGGTTCAACTTGGAATCAATTCCTAGCCAATATTGAAATTGAAAAATGTATTGTGCAGTTCTATGCATAATCAAAAGTATGTTGTTACTGGAATTTGTTCCCTAGCAGGTATGCAGCTGTACCCCAGTTAAAAACATAATGGAACTCATTTGGAGGAGGGGGGGGGGAGAGAAGGGTAGTTCATCTTATACTTGTCTGAGAGCTAAGAAATATGGCAATCTAGCCAATCTCCTACTGAGTTAGGAGCCTGGGCATCCTTAAACCTGTACACTCCTACCCTTTCCTTCATATCCAGCCATTGTTTGAGAACTAATTAGTTTGAAAAATGATGGCATACACATATAAAACTTTATACAAGATCTTCTCCAAAAACAAAAAGGACGAGACCTTTGTTCAGGTAAGGAAAAGAATATGGGAACAAACCAGAGAATTGTTATGCAAGTCTTTATGGGATCGCAACAGATTTAAGCAGTAAATCCTTGGAATCATCAGAATCATCAAAATAATTCTTTCTAATGAAACGCTACAAGGTTTATCAATCCTTTCTACATACCTTTGTAATAGCCTGCCTCATTTGAAAAGGAACATTCATGACACATAAGGCAGGTTTTTACCAATGCAGCATCATTGTAAAGAGAGTTACATTTTATGCATTCAGAACTAAAGAATTCTACTCTATTTTTATTAATTGAGTCTCTTTTCCAATTATAAACTAAATAAATGCTTTTAGGATTTTTTTTCTACAAAGCACTATTAAACTGACACAGTAGAAATGAAAACCTCAGTACACAATATCTATCAAGTTAGACCTTGGAACTATATTAAGACAACCATTTCTATTTTTTTTCATTTCACATGCTAATCAAAAAGCCCAAAGCATACAGTAAGAATAGGAAGCAAGCTGCAAGTTCCTTGAGATGTTCAAAAGTATTCATGTTTCCAGTCAGCTCCTTTGTAAATCAAATTTTCATCTGAAAGACATTCTATTCATTTGGCTGCAGAGCTGCAATCCCATTAGGCTCACAAGGCCCTCCTTGCTTTAACACCTACAAACAGTAGTCCGTGACTTACGAGCATTTTGTTCAGTGACTGTTCAAAGTTACAGCAATGCTGAACGCAGGGACTGAGAACTGGTCTCCAAAGTTATGGCTGTTGCAGAACCCCTGTGGTCACATGATCAAAATTCAGGCACTTAGCAGCCTGCCATGCTGACACAAGGGTGCTTCAACTCTCCCACCTGCCTATCTCTCCCCCATCTCTGCTCTCTTGCCCCCTACACTCTGCAGCCTCTGCCATCCTAAGCTGACTTTTGCCATATTGTTGTCATTGGCCACATAAGACTTTGTTGTCCAAGTTACTGTTGGCAGTTTCCTTACGGCACTTTGGGGAGGATGGGATGGCCTTGTGTGGCCAGCAGCTGCCTCATAAAGGGTCAGGCTGGGAATACTTTGCCAGCAGCGGAAGCAAGAAGATGGCAAAGATCACTTTGGGTGGCAGAGCACAGAGCAACAGGGGCCTCAGAACGCAAGGCAGCAAGGTGACTGTGATTGGGACTGGGCTTCACACGGCAGCTCAGGGGCTTCTTGTAGTCCCAGAACTGCAGCACATGAAGAAGCCTCAACTGCAGTGTGACAAGCAGCCCCAGGACCTGAGAGTTTGGATTGCGGTAGGTCCTCATGTAATCAGTGGAATGCCATTAACAACAGCAATGTGGAGTGCTGGGATTGCTGTTGCTAAGCGATGTGGTCACATGATGTCATGCTTTATGAGCGTATCATCTAGTGACAGAAACTCAGCTCACAATTGCAGTCATAAATCAAGGACTACCTGTTCATTTGAGCTAGGCATCTCCAAGTGGAGATATTCAGCTCTTTCATCTGGAAATGGCTATATTAGAAGCAATGTTACTTTGGCAGCCTAGTCTAAGCAACCCATTTGCTATAAATCCTAAGGTAGGACCTTAAAATGTATTTATGATGCTGGTCTTGAATATGGCTTGGATTCAGCAATTAATACAAAATAACTGAGCAGCCATTAGCAAAAATAGGGATTACCATCAATTTACAGCTGTACTTTTGCCAATTTCCTAACTTATTTGAGGTTCCAGACACCTCAACCATCTATATCATTAAAAACACTATTAGTAGGGAAACTGCTTAGTGAATTTACAGTCTTTTTTTCATTCCAAATAATATCATTTAATATCTGTGTTAATATATTTACTATAAATTTCTCTCTTTATGAATAAAAACAAGTCTTGGTTTTACACAAATTGGTCACATATTAGCAGTCAGTATGCCAGATAAAGACAGAGATATGTGATGAAACTTAACTTAGATCAGTGTTGATAATGTCTTCCTTTTAAAAAGAATGACCTACATTAAATGTGCAGCAGTATTTTTTTCTATCTGAGGTGACCAAAGACATTACATAAAGAAAATTTCAATGCAAAAATGCTTCATATTTACAAACTCCAAATCATAGTTACATAATTATCACTGTCCTTGAAGAATATATTTAATAATTAGGGTGATCAATTAATCCTGGCATCCAATACAAATACATGGATAATATATCTGGATACAAAATGCATGGATAACTTGAACAGTTAACCCTGTCAAATTCTTTGAAAGCTTAGTTTGAATGCAATTGGGGATGATGACTCATTTCAAAATTTTGTTGTAATTTCTGCTTTTCAGTAATGAACAACTGGTTACCCACACAATTAAGTACTACATACAAATTGCATGTACTATGCTGTTTCTACAATTTCGTGGCAAGTGCTTTTGCCACCCAAGTATTCCTGCTGAGTGGGATTTCAAAAACAATATTTGATTTGGTAGAGTTCTCCCCCTAATCTTAAAATATTTGAACCAAAGAACCACCTCAAAGTGGTTCAGTATAATAGCCAAATCCAGATAAAGGTATGTGCAACTCTCAACCATGCTTAAACTAATTCTTTGGATTGCAGGTAGCTATAGGAAATTTAAATAAGCCCATGGCCCAGTCAAATCTCATGTGCACAATTTTTCTTTCCCTTTACTGTCTTGATTTAACCATTTATAAAACCATTCTCTCTTATTTCAACTGAAAACAAGATACATTAAATACAGATCTGAATTAAAAAGACCTTAGGCTTTGCTGGAATATCGCCATTCAATGAAACTTCAAAATCCAGTATGCCATCGTCTTTGTGACCAATGTTTTGCAGACCTTGAAGAAATATTTCCCGTAATTCCTGATATGGTGGTTTTTCAGTGTAGGACAGAGCCATCACTTTTTCCATATACCTGGCTATTTCATCTAAAGAAAGCAATAAGTCCCAATAAGTCAATTACATTTTCATGTAGCAATATAGTGATACGGTATAAAATTCAGCTACTACTACACAGTCATAGCTATTATCCAATATGGTAAGAAAAATATTTTCTTCTTCTCTGCTCACAGAAACTATTTTGTTTCTGGAGACAGAATCTATAAAATACATAAAATTCTGCTTTGAATAATCAGTATAATAGCCAGATCCAGATAAATATCATAGAACAAAAGGAGAGCTTTCCTGACAATTTCACATCTTCAAGAGAAACTCTGGAGGGGATAGATTTGTCAAATGAAGATGGCCATCTTCTCCCACATTTGTCAGGTGCTAAACAGGCCTGAGGCAGTCATTTAATCTTTCTAGATTCATTTTATTTAGGAATATTGAAGTTTCACAGAAATATCAAATTTCATAGTACACATAACATGAACTTTGTTTACAGGCACAAATATGTTGGAGAATCTGGATGTAACAGTACAGATAAACAGATCCCTCTTTTAATAATTTATCTTTTAACAACATTTGAAAATGTAATCATTGTAAATAAATAACCACAGTAAATCTTAAAACAGTACTGTATTTAATGGTAGTGTACTTCTAAAAATAAATAAGATCAGCAAATAGATTTAAACAGGGAAATTTATAACATTGGTCAGATTTCTTTGACTGATCTTTTCTGAAAAGAAAAAGATTTCCTAGCAAACAAACTATCTTTACTCAATTTCATGAGAATAGTTTTATTTATAACTCTTTTCTCTGCAGTAAGAAAACCTGCAAGCATATAGACCATAACAGCATCAGAGTGCTGGTGAAACAGATATTGTTGGCAAAATGGGTTGCTTTTTCTTTCAACTTTCTCTGAAACCTCAAATAAAGTATATGGTGAGGGAGGAAAGAAAAATTCTGTTTCCAGACTGCTCTTGTATCATCCACAAATATTAGGCATGTTTTTTTTTTTAATTCTGCCTGTAAACTGCACATCAGGACTTTTGGGGACAACTTATTCATGTGCTCCCCAAATAAGGGACACTGGTATATTTTGTTTCAATGAATTCCTCTACATCTTTTTTCTTTCCTTACAAATGCATTTGTTTGATGAAATAATTTAAGCAAGCTCTTACTTACCTGGCTTATCTTCTTTAGTGAAACATTTCAACATGAATTCTGAAATGTTATCGGTATACCTGGGAGAAAAAACAAGATGCCAAACTATGTTTAAGAGATCAGTAGTTAAATTTTGATCTGTTAGGTTTCCTTCCTTTCAAATATACAATATATATATGCAGCACATGCAATACACACATATACTGGTAGCAATAATGAAGAGTAATAATAGCATCCTAGCTTTTTAAAATTACACTCCATCATTGAATAATATATGTTACAATCCTCCTGTTATGGTTAAGGAATGAAAACATTCTGACAATTAAAATCCTAGCATAGAAATTCTGTTGTATTAAGTTTCTGATGAGAACATTAAGAGAAATGGGAATCTGTAACATGACATCTTGTTTTTGATAAATAGAACCACAATGATTGCCAAACTAAAATGATATTAGCATCTGGCTTTTATATGTGGAAGATGGCACAACAGGATAAATAAGCTAGGGGTCATAGACCATGGGGTCCATGACAATTCACCACAGCCATTTCACCTCAGACCAACTCGCTGCGGGGCAGGAGTTACACTAATATCAAAGAAATGGTGGAATAGAATCATTAAAGAAAGGATGCAAAATGAGGGACAAAATTAAATGTGAATGAATGATAAAAATTAAAACAATTGTTCATTTCTTTTAAATAATTAAATTAAATTGAATTGTTAAATTGTCCCGCAGTACGTTGGCCGTGGAGAGCTGTCCCATTTCAAAGACCATGTTGGTCCTTCTCATGTTTTCAGCTCTCAACACTATGGTGTTTATTTACGGCCCAGGTGGATTCAGCAGAGCTAGTAAAAATAGCATGTAGTGAATAAACATTTATAGTTCTGTTCATATTAGAATTCTGTTGCAAGCTGATGTTAAATAAGCTTTGGGAAGGGAAGACAACAAAAAGCAAGCACCACTTAAGAATAATATAACAACATTTCGCATTAACACTTTACGGGATTTCTAGTTTCATTGTTTCTGGCTTTATCTCAGACTGCAGGTAAAACAGTACAAAAATCAAAGTGTGCAGGTGTGTATTTGTAATAAAATCCTTACATTTCAACATCAAAAGTGGAATCATTTATGAAAAAAATCTGTTGTACTAGTTCAACATGGACTCTTGCTTATTTTTCTTTCACATTAAGCATTTCCGTCCCTTCTTGTAAGATTCAACTCTACCTTCAACCCCAAACCAAAGGCTCACTGGCTGATTTTGGGTCAACTGCTCTTTCTCAGGTCAACTAATCTCACTAAATTGTTTGTTATGGGGACAAGGGAAGAAGAGTGATATGTACACCACCTTGAGTTTCAGAAAGGTGGTATATAAATCCATCAATCAATGTTGGAGTTGCAATACAGCACTGCAATATCTAACTGCAGAGCTGAAATAAGAATGTCATCCAATTTCCACCCAATAATTCAATTTCAATTAAACCTGTCAAGTCTATCTCACCTGGATTTTTAAGATGAAAATATGATATTTAGTTTCATCTAAGCACATCTACATCAAGCAGTTTGAGTACATCAAAGAGTTTTATTGTTAAATACGTTAAAATTACCTAATTTTTGACAATTTGACATAATCTGGATTTTGCAGGTTATCTTCCCAAGGCAGACTACCGCTGAGCCAACAGATCATACAATAACCCAAAATTTCCAAGTCACCACGTCTTGATGGAGCTAAAAAAGAAAAAAGTGCTAAATTCATAGTGAAGATGAAAATAGTTATATTGCATTGCAATATTAGTTACAACCTATAAAGGCAGAACACTCACTATGGATTATAATTTCAGTTACATTGGAAAGGAGTTATTGGTTGGAGAGTTTCAGATTGCCATGACAAATTTAAGACCACAGGGAAAGGTAGTACAGTATATAAAAAGGGAAAATTTAAATGGAATGAGACATGATTGGAGCTTTGACCGAAATAGCTACCCAAATTACATAAGAGAACGCTTGTGCTCAGCCGCAGAGAAACCTGGATTAACTAAGTCTTTTCAATCTGGGTTCAGGCTAGGGTATATGCCTAAAAAATCATGTGCCACACTTGTGCATATCTTTTTGAGAGTGAGAATTGATGCAACCATTATAGTTGCATTATAGCTCCTCTTAATATCAAAATGAAACTGCTGGGATGATCATTCAATGGCATTTAGTGTAGTGTCATCAATATCCTGATGAAACCAACTCACACATCTCCACCATGAGCCAGACCGATGATGCTATTGCTGGGCTGGCCCAGCCCCTCAATATTATGAAGATATGGATAGCAATAGCAACAACACTTACCATATTTTTCGGATTATAAGACACACCTTTTTTCCTCTATAGAGGCTGAAAATCTGTGTGCGTCATACACAGAATACAGCATTTTTTTTACCTCCTGAAGCCCCGCCCCTTCACCAAAATGGCCGTGCATAGCCTTATGGAGGCTTTCAGACAGCTCCTTCGTGAAAAATGGGCCGTTTTGGGGAGGTTTGCAGAGTGCAAAAGCTTTTTTTCCCCCTTTCGGAAAGCTATTTACTTAGAGTGGTTGATGAGAATTACATTGATCAAGTGCTGTGCCAGCAGAAACAAAGTTTTAGGTGCTACAGGTTGTCAGCTATTTTCTTCTCCAGCACATTGATAAATACACCTGGAAACATCTACCTACCTATCTACCTACTCTCTCTCTTTCCCTACCTACCTATTGTATTTCTCTCCCCCCTCTATCTACCTATATACGTACCTACTCTCTCTCTATCCTCCCCTACCTATCTACTGTATTTCTCTCTATCCCTCTATCTACCAACCTACCTACACTCTCCTAACCTATCTACTGTATTTCTATCTCTCTCTCTATCCCTTTATCTACCTAACTACTCTCTCTCTCTCCCTACTACCTACTGTATTTCTCTCTTTTTCTCCCTATCTATCCCTCTATCTACCTACCTACTTTTTTTAAAAAAAAAAATGCCTCTTCAAAACCTGGGTGTGTCTTATACTCCCAAAAATACGGTAAATTTATATACCGCTTTACAATGCTTTACAGCCCTCTCTAAGCGGTTTACAGAATCAGCATATTGCCCCCAACAATCTGCATTTTGCCCACCTCGGAAGAATGGAAGACTAAGTCAACCTTGAGCCTTGGTGAGATTTGAACTGCCAAATTGCAGGCAGCCGGCAGTCAGCAGAAGTAGCCTGCAGTACTGCACTCTAATCACTGTGCCACCATGGCTCAATAGGGAAGAACTGGCCCTAATTCAACCCTGGCAAGAGAGATTGGCTGTGTTTGGGCATACCAGAGTCCGACGATGAGTCATATTTGATTCTGGATGCAATGGCACTCCATTGGACACAGTGTTGGTGCACAATTGAGAGGTCCTCCTATATTTATACCTCCTACTTAAGGAACAGGTTGCAACTATGACCAATGAGTCTTTTGTTCCAATGGCGCAGTTGTCTGAATTGAAATACCTTGCTTATGGTCATTCATACTCTTTCTGGATTGTGGTGAATGCAGGAAGGTCAGGGAATGAAGAGAATGGCAGTCAGAATGCAAGAAAGTCGAGGGGTGGAGGGTGCATCAAAGCATGAAAAAGTGCAACTGTCCATGACTGTGGGGGCACTGCAATGGCCCAAATTTTGAGGCCCAGTTGCAAGTAGCATTTGCTCAGCACTGTTGCAACTTCAAACTGTTGCTGAATGAATGCTCAGTAAAAGAGAGCTTACCAACATACCAAACAACTTTGTTACCTTTTATTGTTACCTATAAGAAGAATGAATATGCATAAAAACAAAAAACATCTTACCCACTCCCTTGTGTGCATCTATACTAGTAAATTCAAGAGTTCCATCATGACATCGTTTGGGGTTTTCTTTGTAATCCTTGTGATTGCCTTCTGGAGAGTATCGAAAAGCAAGGCCATAATCTACCAAGTATACCTGTGCCGGTTTCAAGCACAACAAAATCAATCCAAGAATTAAAAACAGCCAACCAGAAGATGTACTTTATTTATATAATACTGACTTCTCAATATATCATTAATGTCAGGAAATGTCATTCAAAATACCGTGTTTCCCCGAAAATACGACCTGTCCCAAAACTAACGCCTTACCACATTTTTCGCGTGAGCAAAAATATAAGCCCACCCCCGAAAATAAACACCCTGGACAACCCCACATCCGGCCAGGCAGAGCACCGCTCACCTACATAGTGGTATCCCGAAGGCACCAAGCCGTGGGAGCTGGGGGGAAGGCGTTCACATTGCTTGCCACCTTCGGGATACTGCTAGGTTGGGGAGTGGCATTCTGCCTGGCTGGAGGGGGGAGTTGCCAGGCGGCTGCTCCCTTGTGAGCGGGCTCCTGAAGAGCCGGGCACAGCCTCAGGGGTGAAGCAGCCATGAGTTAATCACGCTCAAGAGCAGCCACCTGGCAAATCCCCTCTCCAGCTGGGCAGAGCACCATTCACTGACCTAGGGGGTATCACTTAGGCGCCAAGCCACATGGCGCTCTGCCCGCCCCCCAGCTCCCACAGCTTGGCACATTCGGGATACCCCCTAGATCAGTGCATGGAGCTCTGCCCAGCTGGAGAGGGGGGGGTTGCACGAGCGCCTGTTCCACCCCCAGCCTCACCAAGCTCTTGTGCAGCTCTCCCAGGGCACTGCCGCCACTGCCGCCACACACTGAGCATAGCTTCCAAACTCCAAAACCTGGGGCTGAGTCTTCCAGCATCGGCCTCTCTAGGAATGCTCTCTATGGTGGGCCGACTGCCAGACAGAGTCTCTTCCAGACAGAGTCTTCCAGCAGCCGGCCCACCATAGAGAGCACTTCTAGAGCGGCTGATGCTGGAAGACTCAGCCCCGAGTTTTGGAGTTTGGAAGTTATGCTCGGAGTGTGGCAGCGGCAGGCGGCAAGCAGCGGTGCCCTGGGAGAGCTGCGCAATGGCTTGGTGAGGCTGGGGGCGGAACAGGCACTTGCGCAACCCCCCCTCTCCAGCCGGGCAGAGCTCCATGCACTGACCTAGGGGGTATCCCGAATGTGCCAAGCCGCGGGAGCTGGGGGGCAGGCAGAGCGCCACGTGGCTTCGTGCCTTAGTGATACCCCCTAGGTCAGTAAATGGCGCTCTGCCCGGCTGGAGAGGGGATTTTCCGGGTGGCTGTTCATGAGCGTGGTCACCTCATGGCTGCTTCACCCCTGGGGCTGTGTCCGGCTCTTCGGGAGCTCACTCGCAAGGGAGCAGCCACCCAGCAACCTCAAAACAATAAGCCCTCCCAAGGCTTATTTCATGGGGCAAAAGAAAATAAGACCCTGTCATATTTTCGAGGAAACACGGTATAAGTATGTGTTTTCTTTTTGTACCAAGATTCTTCCTAATATTAAAAGCTTAATTATCTATCCTATATACTTCAATAAAAATAAAACATTATATTATTAAATTTAATAGGACTCCCAAGCAAGTTAAAGTAAGCCTACCTACAATCCAATAACATTAATCTAATATTGATGTTAAAAGAACCAAATAGAAAAATATTATCTGCACACTACCTTAATAATTAACCAACTCCTGATTGAACTGATGTAGAACAAATTGCCTCAGGGGTATAGATGGTGATTCTAAATATCATATTACCAGCACAAACCTAATTCAGAATTATTTTTAATAACCAAGGCTCACTATACCAGTGGATGCTTTCAATTCCCACCTGAAGCCTCATGCTGCTTTTACCACCAGTTTCAATTTCATTTACATCTCACAAACTGTTACAGAAACAAGTCAGCACCAGTCTTATCCTCTTTCTTTTCCAATTCAATCTGCTGGGCTATATAAAGTCTTTTATGGCATTGGATCAGGTTATTGAAGGGACCACCTATCTTCATCATTTTTGCCCTCCAGTAATATCGGAAAGAATTGGTGCTCCCTCCCTCAAACAACTGCATCTATCAAGACCCAGGCCTTCTCTGTTGCAGCCCCTGTCCTCTGGCAGCTTTGTGTAGCTCCCATTCTGATGACCCTATGACAGGCTTTTTAAAAATGGCCTTTCTCCCAAGCTATGGGCTATGGTACTTGTGGATTCTGTTGGTTATAGCTTTTTGATATATGGGAGTATCATGGTTATATCATGGGGGTTTTTCTTTACTGTTTTCTGTTTTTAAAGTATAAGCTTTCCAGAGTCATCCTGGAATTTGGTGGCTTCTAAATCAAATAAGTATGTAAATTCATTTCCTGGCTCCAAATCTGGGTAAGTGAATATTAATATAGGTTGTAAAAAGTCTGTGCTTACAGAAAAATCTTAGACTGGGCTGCTAAAATTTCTGGCTTGATGAGCATGTCATGAGTTCTTCCAAGAGTTACCATGTAAGAAGGGGTCATCTTTTCATCAACATAGGATTAGCCAGCTACAAAATACCCATTAACCAGGAAGCCATTTCCCCCAGAATTCTAATGTGCCTGTTCTGAAGCTATTGGAACATTTTTAAAGAAAACACTAAATTTTGTTCCCACTAGGAAAAACTGTAAGACTCACTATCAATGTTTCTTCCTTGCACTATGTCGGCTTCCATTTTACCTTCCTTAGAAAAATCAGATGAATCCTTCCCAGAAATGTATTATACAAGAAATAAGTCAATAATCCTAAGAATATTTGCATTGTCAGATATACTGTAATTCTGTATCAAGCTAAGAAAGTTATGGGAGCTTCATCACTGGAGGCTTTCAAGAAGAGATTGGACTGCCATTTTTCAGAAATGGTATAGGGTCTCCTGCTTGGGTGGTGGGGGTTGGCCTAGATGACCTACAAGGTCCCTTCCAACTCTGTTAATCTGTAACTAAAATGATGTGTCAAACATTAAGATGGGAAAAGTGTCTTTGAAGAGTGAGCTCCTGTGCTACAAATTTATTTCTTGATTGAAATGCAAAGTGTCAATTTAAACAACTAAAAAATTATGTATATGTATATGTTGCTTTGTTATAGAAATTCTACTTTAAAACCAAATCAATCATTTTCCTTTGATTTACGAAATTATTTTCATTTTTAGATAATTCTCATCTTCCAAAATAGTATTTTTATCAACAATTCATATAATGGTGATAAAAAAACTGTGGATGTAAGACAAAAACTTGACCTCAGGTTTACAAACAAAAAAAGAAATCTAAAGTGATGGGGTGATCAATCAATCACATAACTGAAATAATGTAGTAAACAAATGAACTATTTTATACAGATGAATCTAGGAACTGATCTTCTACTGCCATCCCTGCTTGAATAAAAGCAATGCAACCATCTAGTTACTCTTGGACCTCTTGCCAAAGGAAGGGACAAAATAACCTGCACAATGTTTCTATCAATTTACATGGGAATATGAAATTGTCATCTCAAGAAAAGCACCTAAACTTAGAAATTATTCATTTGCTAATGATGACTACTATAACTAAATGATAATAATAAATAGACAGCTAGGGATATTACTGTAAACCATTTGATTTGAACTAATACGTTAAGAAATCAGGTTTTCAAGTAACAGAACACTTATGGCTTGATGGATTCTTCAAACAAAGGAAATAAAAAATTGACAAAGCTGACAAGCAAACGTAATTCACTGGTGTAGTATATAATTTTAAACTTCCACCCCCAAACAGCTATTTGAAATTCATTTTGTATTGCAAGCATTCTCTTGAATATTATTCAGGGCAGAATAGCCAATTTGATCAGCTGCCAGCAAAGTGAATAAAAAATGTACAACATTAACTAGATATAAATGTCAAGCAGAAATATTAACGCTGTACACATTCATAAAGGCAAGATTTCTGCTGAGGTTCACAGCAGTTCCATTTTCTTTAAAACAATAGGTTAAACACTAAAGGAAGAAAAGATTGAAAGTTACCTGATTTGGAATCTCGTGGCCCAGGAGAAGATTTGAGGCCTTGATATCTCCATGTACATATTCATGTTCATGAATATATTCCAAAACATTAAGCTAAAAAAGAACAGAACATCAGGAAAAAAACTTCAATAAAATTAATTTCAATGAGGTCTCTACTTACATTAACATAGAAAAACATTAACTTACTATTCTCAATCCCAACTGTAACACTGTTTTGCGTGAAAACTGCTTTCCTTGTTCTTCAAATATCTTCTGAAGATCTTTCCCTAATCTGTCCATCACCATAAATCTATAACTGATTTAAAAATATATAAGGAAATTGAAAACAAACATACAAAAAATAACATTCAATCTTGAGGATTGTACAGACATGGAATTTTATTAGCACCAATTAACAATCATGTGCCATTAACCTCTTCCAGGTCTTTATTTACTTCCCTGTCTAATTTCCAGACCTAGTATTTCTTAATGGTCTCCCACCTACATACTAAGCAGGACTGATCATGATTAGCTTTTATGATGACAAAGGTTCTAGATACTACTCACTCCCAAGCAATGCAGTGGCATGAAAAAAAGAAAGAAAAGTTTAAAAACTGATAAAACTTACTAAACAACCCTCTTCAATATTTTCTACGATTTCAGGAAAGTATGCAGGAATAAATGAAATCAGAACAGGATAGCAATTCAACTGATACTAAAGGCAAATTTCGGAAGTATAACAGAGAAGAGATCAGGTGTGTCTCCTGACTGAAGGAGATGAAGAATCTGTGCTGTTCTAATTAACCAAACTTCTGTGCCATAATTGTGGCACCTGAAGCATAATCTCATTTAAATACCCCCCTTAGGAAACAATAAAAACAGTTCTGTTTTCACTCATTAAATAACTTATTTAAAAAAATCAATAGAGAAGAAAAATGTCTTTTCAATTTCTTTAAACAAATCCTTAATGTCTGTCACTAAACTACAAGACAAAGAGAAGAGTTATCTCATTAACATCCCTTTCAATTAGTATATCTCCTGTTTGATATTTTCTTAATGGTTTAATTTTAATGATAGTCGATTATTTTTACCTTTTTTGTTATTTCACATATCTAGCAAGGTATTTTTGATTATCTCTTTGGACAGATATTTTTGTAATTTAATTGCTAGGTAATACTCAAAATGGACTATTGCCAATTTACTCTGTTCTGGCCTTGGGGTGAAAAGCAAGAGAACGATAGCTGATGTTGAAATCTTACTACTTGGTCTGAATTCTTTAAACATATTTAGTTTTATTCTGATGGAATAAAGCTAACTTGGAAAGTTTAAACACCTTATCTTATACTTCCTTGAGAACTACCAAGCACATATATTAAATTTAATAGAATATCATAACATTACTTAAGATTCACTTAATACTGACCACCAAGTTCTGTAATAAAATACACATAACTGTTCTAATTCCTCAATATGTTGACATGATAAACTTAAATGACAAAGACTCTCACTCAAAATTATTATGACTCATTTTAAGAAATATTGGTTTGGAAAATTGAAATTAAGGAAAGTTACATTATAAAAAGTATTCTATATTCTAAAATAACAAATGTTTTATACCTTTTGCCATTCTTTTGATGCAAACCAGAACCCCAATATTTTGGTACGCCTAAATATTTTAGTTTGTGAGAAGAAATCCATTTTTTAACTGAAAAGAAACAAATATTCAATATACATTTGTTACCATATAAGGTTGAAAACTATTAAATTTTAATACAAAAAGAAAAGGATGGTTATTTTTTTTTAAACAGGGAACCTCTCCACTGAAATTAATGGCACTGAAAAGTTTAGAATCTAAACTGTAGATGGACTGCATTTTCTTTAATGTTTATACATTTTATCCTCAATTCCTTCTATAGTTTTAGCAAATTAAATATAACAGATGCACCCCACAAGAGCAAAAAATGAACAAACATGCTAGCATGTTTAACATATCATTTAAAGTTATTTATTATTCCTTCCCCCCTTTTCAAGCAATTTCAGACTCTTAGTATTAAAAAAGGATGAATTTTAGGATCCACTTTATAAAAATTATTTCCAATAAATACTCAACACTGTATCATTACATGGCTTTATTTCATACTCTTAAAATAACCATTTAGAATCCTATATGAATTACAATAAATCAATACTATATATTTCCCATAATTATCTTATATTTAAAAATGATTACATTGTTTTATTGAATAAAAATGGATTTATTTACTTACTTGGTTCTGGTTTAGCAGCTCGCATGTAGAAACTTAACTCAGTAAAGAGTGGTCCATTGTCACTGGGCTCCTTTAAATATCATTTTATAAATAAATGCAATGTTTTAAATTTATTTATTCACTTTTCAAGCAAAGCTTTTACTAATATATAAAACATTCTTCTATTTTCCTATAAAACTGTTCTTTTAACCATTTAATTTTCTTCCTTGTAATTCAGTTCCTTGATAATTAATTGTTATATAATTGGGAATGAGATACATAATTTAAAAATAAAGCATTCCCATATATCACAATAAAAAATGTTTACATCAATATGGGATCTAAAAGCCAAAATATTACACAGTATCGCTAGGTAAGTATTTGAATGACCCAAACAAAGCAACCCATGTAATATGGAGGCATCTACATCCTCCAGAATGCTTACCACTATTGCTCTATGAACATTCCAGGGTTGTATGCATACTTCTGCAGGTACAGTGAATTAAATAAAGCAGCTGTCTAGGCACATATATGGAGAGACAGCTTGGGAAAGACTTTGAGGCAGCCATAAAAAAAAAACTTTATGGAGCATGAGGTGGCCTTGTTGCTTTGTTCCTGTCAATATAATTCACCAAACACTCTCATTTTCAGTATCCAAAATAAGACATATATTAACCTAGCTGTCTCATACCAAGTCAAGCTAAGCTAGTAGCCCATCTAGCACTGTGCATTCTATTCTGCCTATCAACAACTTTCCAGGATCTCAGACTGAGTTCTTCTCAATTAGGGACTAAACATGGGTTCTTAAATAACTAGATTATGAGATATAATAGTTAATTATGGTGCTTCCCATACATATAGGTATTTTAATCAGAACATTCCTTATTTTAAAAAAAAGAATACTGTCCTTGCCATTAATGGAAACCAATTTATGCAGCAAGCAATCTACCAGATAATTAAATTGGTTTACGTGGCTTATGCAATATTTTTCCTGATCTTCTCATTTTGAAATTGGTGTCATTTTTTAACTAAACCAAAATATGACTATAACAAGACCAAATCATTAGTTTTATTTTTGTTTTATAGAACTGTTAGAAGAGTTTTGCTCATGGACAATCAGTATCCATGTGATAGTCTTTTCCCAGTATCCATGTGATAGTCCTTTCCCAGATGATCCTGACTTAAGTGACTGTAATCATAATGCAGAATAGACTTAAATGTCTACATATACTGTAGTTAACTCTATTCTATAAATCTATAGCTAGTGTCAAATGTCACCATCTCCAAGAGATATTTTTTTCAAGCTAACTATTCATGCATAAATATAATTTATCACCTTATATTTAAATTCTAAATTATATCACAAAGCAGATTCATATAAATATTTATCAGTCACCTCTTCTATTCATGCAGATCACCTTATATACATCACCAATATGAATCACTATGCAGTAATACTTTTCAATATATTTAATAGTAAAAAATGTGACATATGCATTATTTTACATCATAATTGTAATTAATTAATAGCATCTATAATTCTATACTGCAGATAAAAAGTAGCAAGAAAAAGGCAAGTCCACCTGGTGCTACTATCAAGCAATAATATTTGCAAACATTAAAATGTACTCTATAATTTGGCTTTTTAAATCAGTAGTCTTCTCTGATATCATCACAGTATTCAGAAAGTCAAAACTGAAGGGCCAGGAAATCATGGTCTTATTTATCCATTCACCCATATTGGTTAATGGGAATATAAATGGGATAATGAAAGGCAGATGCGAGGAAAACAGGGGCAGGACATGCCCCAACTTTTTGAGGCATCCTGCATGCACTATTATTAGCTATATGGAAATGATTGCATGATCCCAATTCCTTCTATTAATGAACTCATGATCAGAATGATCCTTAACAGTTCAAAGATTACATGGCACACGGTGTCTTCAAATGTCTTATATGTCTATGTTTACCCTCCTTAAGAACTCTAATTTTCCACACACAAAATTCATGAGGGTACAATGATAAATTCTTCTGCTTTACCACATATCTCTAAACTAAAATAGTTCATAATTGCAATTAGTTATAAAATAAAATATACAATGATTGCCCTAGAGAAATATATGCAAGCTACAGGTCAGATTGGATTGTCTGTCCTAAATTTACAGAAATTTTATTTCCTATGCAATTTCAGAACACCTCAAAGGGAACCAGTGTAAAGCATGTATGTCATTCCACTACTCAACACTCAATCCAAGGAATATAATAAAATTAGAAATTATTTGAGCAAGATGACAATAGCATGTTATTTTTATTAAAATAATTAGCAAAGCTTAAAATACATTCTAGTTTAATTTAATCTACTAAACAATTCATATAACACTAGTTGCTTGAGGATTTTCAAGAATTTTACAAACGTACAGGTGGAAAAGTTTGTATTTTCCATTTTATTTTTCAAATGCAGACTATTTCAAAAGAAAGAAATTTTCTCCAGAGTCAGTCTGGAGTCAGGCACACCAAAAATGAGTGCGTGAACAATTAAACAAACTTACCACTTTTATAACATAGGGTGCATCACTGGTAACTGATTCAGATGAATTAACATCAGCTGTTAAAATATAAGTAGTTTTTATCAACAGGATTTAAAACTATCTTAATATATCAGCAGCAATTTTTACATAACCAACAGAGTAATTGGATGAAAACCAAATACAAATTCATGAGTATATTTAACAGTATTGTATGGTGGAGCCTTATGCATTCTTTGCACAAATCCACCTCCATATCACAGACTCATACAATAATATAAATTGATACATTTTACATATAATATTTCAATTTTGCATGTAAACAATGAATGCTACATTCCATTTTTAAAAACTGTAGGAACTTGCCAAACCTAACCACAGTCAATCAAACATACTATTCTGCTTTAAGAGCAACCAGCTGGTGCTGCCAGATGTAAATAAGTCAATTTAAATGTCCTATTAGTGAAACATTCAGTGATTTTGGTGGGTGAATTGAAGCAACAAAGCCTTTCCTAAAGAACAAGATTATGAACACCAAGTCCTTATTAGGAACATGGTAGTAACAATCGTAACAGATATTTTAATTAGCACTGAGTCCAGAGCCTTGCCCTCCAAAAAGATTTCATGTTCTTATATTTATCTGCTGGAACAGACTAGGGAAGATAGAAGAAGAGGGGGAACCCATTCTGTTAGAAGAGTCCATTCTAATGACAGCATCACTGGATAAAATACCAACAAAAAGTATGGTGACAAAGGCCCAGCCCTTCTTGTAAGGGGAGCATGAAGGCAATGAAGAAAATCAGAATAAGCAATAGAATCAGGCGCACACACCCAACTACTTTCTATTCAGTTCACCAGATGCTGTCACCAACCCCGCAGTCCCCTCATCAATCTGCTAATCAGCTGAATGGCAGAATCCCAAGAACACTATTTGGCCTGTGGACATCCTTTCCGCAGCATGATAACCATGCATTCTACAGCAACTTCTTGTCAATTGATTGGCAAGCTGGCTAGAGCTGGAAAGCCTTGAGGAGTGCTATACAACAACACAGCAAGCTTTCTACAAATTGTTTAAAGGGAAAAAGATAGTCTTATTGTCCCTTTTCTAAGGTCACCCATTTTCTACTGTTACAGGAAGAGAGAACCTGCAAAAAATCATGAGGTTCTCCAGCCAATTCTATTAGTTGAGTATTTTGAAACAAAAATGTTTCTTCTGTAAGAAAATATATCCATTCTGTATGTGTGTTAAGAATACACATTCTAAAATAATTATATGCTGGCCGCTATATTTTAGCAATCTTGACACTATTCTTACCAAGGTACAGACAGCCAAAACCACCTTTGCCTATAACTGGACCAAGCTTCCATTTTTTCTTTAAAAGGTCAGTAAAAACTTCTCCGGGAGGAAATTCTTCAGCAAGTTTCCGTTTTCTTGGGCCTCTTTTTCCTGTCGACTTTTTGATATTAGGCATAATCACTAAAGACAATTAAAATAAAATAAATTAGAAATAGGATAAATTTGACTTATTTTTAAATCAAAAAAATTTTTATTGCCTTTTTCCATTTGTCACCCTGTTTTACAAAACAGAAGAACGAAATCAATCCCAAACAAGTTCTGATCATGGAACTTTTGATGATTTTAGTACTGAATTTTTCTAGGACAAATTGATCAAAATGCAAATATGAAAATGTATTATTTTACTTCCTACATGATACTCACACCTCTGATAAAGGTGTAAAAAGGCTCTACAGTTTGAAAATATATATTCTTACCAATTTCTCTTATCGTTCATATTGCAGCAAATAATAATTATATGTTAAAAGATGGGCATATCTACAGAACCATTACTAACATAGACAGCTTGTATCCTTCCAGATATTGCTAAATTACATAATTATTCATTCTGGCTATGGTTACTGAAAATTGTCATTCAACTATACCTAGATGACCACAGTTTACCTATCTTTTGATATATGTCACAGAAGTACAGCACAAAAGTAGTGTCCAGTTTCTCTTTTTTCAATCTCCGAAAAAAGAAATCTCACTAATTGTGCTCTTCTTTTACAATATTTTTATTTTGATGTGCCATTTAATTAATGGGAAATTAGCAAAAATTGTCTTCCCTCATGATTGTTTTTACTTTGCCATTTTTGAGTTGAATTTTTTTTTTAAACTGAGTCAGTGATTAGTTTTACTCCTACTATTGCCATCAACTCTTCCAAAGCATAGCTGACAGTCTCAATTCAATCATATGCAATCAGGCAGGCAGATGATGTTTGCCTTCCAGATTTCATAAGGTTTCATACTTGCACCTCTGATAAATATGAAAAATTACTCATCATAAATAGGAAGACTTAAATTTTGGCAGAATCATTCATCATTTAAAAATCAAATGTTTATGTTCTAATATTATTTATGACAATACTAACCATTATTACTATTAAAACAGGAGCTGTGCAACAGAAACCTCTTGATGTTGAATTGATACTTCCACAATCTCACCATTATATTAAATAGGTTGATAAAAACAAGAATTCAACCATATCTGGAGGGCCATATATTGCTTAGATTTTCTTTGTCATATCACATTATGTTAAGCATTTGCCATTCCATGCTTCTTTGTGGAACTTTCAACTTCTGTATAACTTTTGCATTTAATGTCCAAGTTTCACAATCCTAGGTAAGCACAGACACTACATATTTAAACAATTTCCTCAGAAATGCAGTGGGTAGCCATATTTTATAATGAGCAGGATAACAATCAAAACAGGACAGCAGCAATTCTTTGTTAAATATTGACACTTTTTTAAAAAACCATTAAAATATCCAAAGAAATACTGAGCAAATGTAATGCAATTTGAAGGTGTTAACTATTTGCACTGCACAGGTGAAATTGAAAAACAGTTAAGAGTCATTCTTGCAATGAACTCATTTGACTAATGAAGATGATACATTTATCCCTAAAAATATAAGAATATAAAATCTGTGCACTGACAAATTTTCCAAGTACAAAAGGCCACACTACTGACATCTGCATGTATACTACACCAACATATTACTACATCCTGTTTTGGAGAAGAAACTGATGTGTATGAAGGCCAATACCAGCTACACAACTGGCAGCTTTGATTTCACATTGTTGTGCACATTATATTAATATATTAAATTTATAAGCCCCTGATTTTCAACTCTGAGCACTTTACAAATTGTTAAAAAATGTAAAAATAAGGATCATATAAAAACAGATAAAGAACACAAAAGAGCAAAGGAACGATACCTAGAAGTTAGCAAGGAAAAGAAAGGGGTAACAATTGTACTGGACAAAGAACCAGGTCTTTATGGTCTTTTGAAATACCAACAAGGTGGGAGCTCTTCAAACCATCATTCCACAGGACAGCACTTCTACAGGTAAGGGGACTTCTGGGGCCCTGACAGATGTTATTCTTTAAATCAATGGAATCTAGAGGGCGCCAAGTCTGCCAAAGTGGCCTTATCCTTTCTGCTTTGAATCTATTCAACAAACAATAAGTAATAAACTGAATACCTTATTCATTTATTTGTATCTAAAATACGGACATAACCTACTAACTTAGTGTAGTATCATTTAGATCAGAGCTGTAAAACTCACGGCCCACAGGCCAAGTGCATCATGCACTGGCCACACCCACACCCGGTTTAATGAAGGAGGGGAAAGTCCCACTGTGACAACGCAAGTTTTACACCCCTGATTTAGACGACATGACATTAATTTGATACATAAACATTACATGACATTAATTTGATACATAAACATTGTAAACTTATCAATGCTTGCTTAGGAGTTAACAAAAAAGCAGAAAAAATAGGTGGAACCTATTACACATTCCCTCCCCTTTACCCTCTGCTCTCCACTGAACTTTCCGTTAGCATATTGATGCATTCTCATATTTTCTTTTTATTTTATTGTTCCATTATTTTACTTCTATTTTCTTGACACTCTTTTCAATTTTTCCATTTTATTATTGTAAGCCACTTAAGAGTAGCCTCACGGCAAGATAGGAGGCAAATAAATTTAGCAAAGAAAAAATTAATACAAACTGAAAAGTCACACAAGCTTAAATTATAGTCTATGGGCCACTATTTATCACTTGAAAGTAGCCCAACTCACCTCACAGGGTTGTTGCGGCAGGGAAAAATAGGAGGTGGAAGATGTGTTGGATATGTATGCTGCCTTACTTATAAAAATAATACAAGGGATAATGAATAACCCTGGGGGGAAAAACAATGCAGTAGATATGCAGATTGGGGGAGGGGGATATGGGGAATATTTAAGGACCAAATGCAGCTTTCACCAATCCTGTAACTTCCAGAAACTCCTAACCTACAACTATAACGTCCTAGAATTCCTTGCATATGTGATAGGAAGTGGTATCAGTAGAGCCCTGGTTATTAACAGAGGATTCTAAAGGTAAATGTTAAGACTGTGAATACCAAGGGGCAGGCTTAGGAGTAAACAAACAATAGCAATCTTAATAATTAAATAGCTGAGTGTGTGTGTGTGGCATTTCTTGTACCAAGAAACAGTTCTGATCACCATCATTAGTAATAACTAAATTAACAATTATTTAGCTGGTCCAAAATAAGGCTATCAATTTCATTGTTATTGTACTTTTTTTTTCTCATCTCTCCTTTTTTCTTTACAGTTCCCTTCCTATTAAATGTTTTCAACCACATTGTTTCTACATTGTGAAATGTTGAACTTACCTCCTTCATTTTCTAATACAAACTGTTATTTATGCCAGCTCCCTTCTGGCAAACCCAAGATACTCCACTGAACAGAGCACATACTACCTCCTAACCTAAAAAGGAACATTTGGCTTATATTTTACTTCAGCAAGCCTACAGTCACAAAGGCCTTCTGAAAAATCCTAAGATTTCAAACTATGATTGTTGAAAACAACATCATTAACCTCAAGTGGGATTTTACCATTTCCAAAGCTCAGCTTGTATTGTAGACCTAACTCACTTCTCCCGAAATGTTTCACGTTGTCCATAGCATCCAAAGGCTACCTTTATTTTAATAGATGACAAAACAAAAATGTTTGGAGTAGTTTTTCCCCATTTGGACTTCTGAATTGTAACATTAGATCTCCTACTAGCCAAACTGAATTAGGCCTTAGGGGAGTTACTTTCAGTTTGAACTAAATCTTCCGTCCTGGATCGACTTAATCCAGTCCAATGGAGCGGAGCCAATAGAAAGAGGCAATGAAAGACATATCAAATCCCGAAAAATCCACCTGCGTAGATATCTCAATGATATTGCTAATTGACTAATTTTTTACGGCGACGTGCACAACTAAGGGCGGAAAAGGGAAACACGCAAAGCGTTTCTGTAGCCAACGGCTCCTGAAAGGGGCTGCCAAACAGCAGACTCGGGCTACAGAGGGGGTTAGGAGGAGGAAGGTAGAAGCAACAAGGTCCACCTTGGAGGCAAAGATAATGGGCATCACATGGCTTCCCAAGCTCTGCTCCCCGGGGAAAGGCGGATGCAATTCTCGTCCTCTCCCAGAGCCATAACAAGAGAGCGCTTCGGGGCCATACCTCGTTAGCCAAATGGGACTCTGGCGAGTCCTTTCACCAGGCGAAGAGCGCGACCACCCCCGACTGCGTCACGCACCAAACTCAGTCCACACCGGAAACGGGACGGCGGAAGTTCGGAGTTGCCGCGCAAAGAGAGCTTCCGTTTTCCAAACGGGATATAGTCCCTGAAACTGTCAAGGCGAGGGGTGGCCTCGCCTCCCGCGCGCAAAAAAGTGGGCGTGGCTTCAGCTTGGCGCCGGGGCCGTTTATTCGTGGCGCGCGCGCATGGGTAGGCGTCGCGTGTGGGCTGCCCGGGTAAAAAGGCTTTTATTTAGCGGCGTTTCCGTGGTTGCCCCGTCCGCTCGACGCTTGATCTCAGATAAAGCGCCGAGGGGGCTAAAGCCGGGGTTTCTTGTATTGCGAGCACGAGAAATTCTGATTTCATATATTTATTTCAGTTGTATGTCTTCACCGTGCTTTTTTAGTTCGCGAATTAACCCATTGTTCTTTGGCACAATCAGAAATAAATCATATTCCTTTCAATCGCGTTTGATCCTGGCAACTTCGGCTGTTCTTCCAATTTACGCTCTATATTGCTGCGACCTCGGTTTCTCCACTTTGCTCAATCTTGTTTGTGAACGACATCATATTAATAATAACCGAAATGTAGATTTTTTTCATTAATTTATCCTTGGAATCTTCGTTGTACTAACCTCTATTAACGGCGGCTTTTTATTACTGTTCAGAAAAATTGCATTGACCTGTTGCCAGGCAGATAAGTTATCTATTATTTTTCGTTTACATTCGTTTAAAGTGATATTATATTTATCTTCTTACTGTTTCCCCCCAAAGATAATAGTTTTTGGTGGGAAGACTTATTGTAAGTTTAACAGTTAAACTAACATTTTTTTAAAAAAAATAGTATACAGTGTAGTTTAGGATGTAGAAGTGGAATATGACATCTTTTAACAACCATGATAATGATTGCACTAATGATTGTTGGAAGAAATGTCCTTCTGGGTTCAGTTCCAAGTGGGGGAAAAGACTGGAAACGGAGGCTGCTTAGAAAGATGGTTTAATGGTGGACAGGACCACATGGCTTGAGGTCCTGGGGAAAAAGGTGATCACATGCTTCCAGGTGTTGGGTGAAGAAGAAGGGTTCGGCCCCACCTATCTGCCTCCTGCTGCTGTGCAAGAAATGTATTCTGATTGGTTGTCAGACTCACATGGGGCCATGCATTGGCAACTCTCTAGGCTGAGTCCAGGTTTGGTTGAATTCCCAGATGCCATGTGGTCAGTTGGGTGAAGGGCTTATACTAGCCTGCCTTAATTCCATCACCCTGGAGTTCATGGGGTGGGGTTTTTGTTATGTGAATAGACTGGCTTAGCATCTTAATGGCCCATTGACAAAAAGGGGGAAGGCAGGAAGCTACTGGAAGTTTCTCTTTAAAAGGTTTCTCCTTTTTCACATCCAGGGAAACATAATATTCTGCCTTTTCAATATTTCCTAGGATATTTCATTTTTCTAGGAGAGGGGTGGATTTTAACTTCCTACATGATTATCAGGTAATTCCGTTCACTGTATCATCTTACAAAAATAAATTCCCTCTTAGTTTAATGGGGGTTATTCATGGATGGGCAGTAAAGTTGTAATTTTATTTTTGAAGTCAACAAAAACTTTAGATTCCTAATATGGAAAAGGTCCTAACAGATATAATGGGCCTCTTTTATAAGTACAAATATGCTTTGAAGCTTATTATCTATCAGTGTTCTGTGCGCCTTTGGCATATAGTCACGCCAGCCACATGACCACAGAGACGCCTTTGGACAGCGCTGGGTCTTCGGCTTTGAAACAGATGAGCACCATCCCCTAGAGTTGGGAACAATTAAGATATATGTGCGAGGGGAACCTTTACCTTTTATCTATCAGCTGACTATATGCTTCAGGGTAGTGTATCTTCAAAGTATCTAGTACTAAACTGAGAGTTGCTATGAACTTTCAGTCACACTACAAGTTACTGCTTTTCTGTACTGTCATTCAGCAAAGATGATCCTCTTAGTTTACTACAAAAGTCTTTTAAAAATTATGTTGTTCTAATATCTCATTTTGCCTTTTATAATAAAAGGTTCCTACATGGAATTTCTATGAGGCCCTAACAAATTTTCATATTTAAACTTGGTGATATTCTCTGAACAGCCTTGATGCAAAGTCTATGAAAAAATAACCAGAGAGCTATGGAGTTTATGTGTAGGCAAGATTAAGCAGGAAAAGTATGTGCATCTGCCCAATACAAAACTAGCAAGGTATTTACAGACCCCTCGTATCCTGGACATAAATTGTTTCAACTCCTACTCTCAAAATGACGCTATAGAGCACTGCACATCAAGACAACTAAATGCAAGAACAATTTTTTTCCCAAACGCCATCACTCTGCTAAACAAATAATTCCCTCACCACTATCAAACTATTCACTAAGGCTGCATTACTATTACTATTAGTCTTCTCATCATTCCTATCACCCATCTCCTCCCACTTATGACTGCATGACTGTAACTTTATTGTTTGTATCCTTATGATTTATATTGATATTGATTGTTTCCTGATTGCTTATTTGTACCCTATGACTATCATTAAGTGTTGTACCTTATGATTCTTGATGAATGTATTTTGTCTTTTTATGTACACTGAGAGCATATGCACCAAAGACCATATGCACCTTGTGTGTCCAATCACACTTGGCCAATAAAGAATTCTATTCTATTCTTTTCTACAGTAGATAGAGATTTACAATACTGGTATTTTGGATATTGGCTTGGAATTTTCTACTGTTTTTATAATTTCATCTTTGTACTTGCATTTCCCCCAGAGTCGTTTGTGATGGGGGGGGGGAGTGTTATAAATTTGGTTAACAAGTGGAATTAAATAATTTGTAGTTTGGCACAATACAGGAAATATTGGCATCATTTGCTCAACACTCTTGATCTGGATAAAATAGAATTGAGTAGTTTGTAGTTCATTATGTTGTAGGAAACTTAATCTTAGTCTTATATTGTATAAATCATGCTATCACATTAGGATGTAATATGATTTATTCATAAAGAATAGCATATTATGTAAACACAGCACTTATGATTTTATGGATAGATGCACCTTTTAATCATCTGATGAAATAAAAGAGGAAGTTGTTTATAGAAGGCTACCAAACAAGGGTCCCTGAGCAACTCTGGACAAAGAGAATTAGAATTAGAATTATTTATTGGACAAGTGTGATTAGACACACAAGGAATTTGTCTCCAGTGCATAAGCTTTTAGTGTACATACAAGCAACAAGTGATAAATCATTATTATATTCATAAAATACATTCATCATAAATCATAAGATACAATACTCAGTGATAGTCATAGGATACTAAATAAGTAATCAACATAAATCATACTAGGATACAAAATAAAACAATATAAATCATAAGATACAAGCAACAAAGTTATAGTCATAAGGAATAGGGAATAGGAAAGATAAGAAGGATAATAGTAATACCACACTACTAGATAGATTGATAGTGTTGTAGGAATTAGTTGTAAAGAGTACCATGGGGAAGGCTTGCTGCCTAATCCTGTCCACATATACTTCTCTCCGAAGTGAGAATGGTCAGTGGTTCACTGAGAAGCCAAAGGAAATGAAGCAATTAGAATGATGTGCAGAATATCTTCTTCAGGAAAGAGAAAACCCTTTCTGTTACTGCCTGCTTCTTTGAAAAGTATTTATAGGGGATGACCAGACTGAGCACGAGAAAAGAGTCAAATGCATCATCAGTCTCAATCCCTTTGTGCCCACAACAGATCAAAGTACAGCTCACCTTCAATTCCCTTGATTCTTTATCTACCACCAATTTGCATTGACCATTAGTAGCTCAGATTCTTGTACAGAGCTTTAGCATACAACAAACTTATATATTCATTTGAACTGCCTGGATTCCTGGTTTTTCTGTGCTTGACATTATTCCATCTGAGATTACATTCACTCCCATACTTGTTTTTCTGAAAGTCATTGAAACTTGGCTTTTCTAGAGAGACTTCAGAATAGACCAGTGATGATGGGAGAGTTTCTGGATATGGATTTGTATATTGTGGGTTGTTACCTGAGGTACTGTTGTATTACTTTTAACTATTTGTTAAATGATTTACATTTACCTATTTAAAGAACGCTTTATTTTGTAGAATGCACGTACAATCACAATTAATATACATTAAATGCAATCTGAAAATTACCAAAATTAATGTTACAATAGTTAGAGTGAAATATTTGCAGTGAAAATGTGGCAACATATGCTTGTGGCCTCATAGTTTTAGAGGAACTAAAACTTTGTGGCTTGAATATGTCACAACTAAACACCCATGTGCATCCTATTGAAATCTTTGAATCTGTTTGTCCCAGACTGAGTCAAACACTAATATTTTGCTTTTCTCACACCCAGATATAGTCTGCAAGTAATCTTATGTTGTTCTATTTTCACCCATAATAATTTGTATCCCATGTAAATAAAAGTACTCTGTTCACTTATTGTTCATTTCATTTATTTCCTGATTCTCTGATTACCAAATATGTTTCTTGGTGTCCTTGTATTTTACTTTTTTCAGATAAGCCAGACATGAAACCTGCAGAGTTCATCCACAGGTGTCCTACTGGTACAGGTTATCCTATTCAAAAAGTTAAAATACAAGCTCACTCAAATACACACATGCTTAGTTAATCACCACTGACATCCTCTCATTTGTTCCAGAAGCACACCAAGGATTTAATCACATGCACTATTGTAATCAACTTGCCAATCACATGTTGAAGTGTTTTTTTTTTGACAGAATTACAATACAATTCCCCCCCATCCCAATCCATCTAAAACATCAAGATAAAACGATTGATATTGTGTTACAAAAATGAAAACTGACAAAAAAAAACCCATGCTTCCCTTCAGAAATGCTAAGATGATTGGGAAGTATTAGTATCTTTGCCCTATAAATAGGCAGCTCTGTAAAGATTACCAAGAACTTTATCACATTTAGTTCAACAGGAAGAAGTTATATTCCTAGCTAGCATCTTTTCCAATTTATTTATATCTTGACTTTTTAGTTTCGCCTGCATTATAT